TATGTCCTTTCCATGTATATGGCATTGTCCTTTTCCTCCTGTATTTTTCAACTTCTTCTATCATTTTTGTAATTGACGCAAAGTTTTTCTCTACTCCTTTTATCAATGAAGATTACAGGCTGCCGGTTGTTCTTAGAGAAGTCCAAGTGATTTAGTTGTTGTTTCTATTAATTTATCATAAATAGAATCATAGTCTTCTAATAAACTTTCTGAATCTTGAAGAGTTCCGGGATTAGAATGTAAAGTAAATAGATTTTCATATGATTGATTAGAATATTTATCAATCTTTGTTAAAAATAGAGGTTTGTAATTTCTTTTTAACCACTCAAAATATTCATGTTTTAATCGGTCCTTTTTGGTAGAATAAATTGGCTAGTCAAATAATATGAACATCCATACACCCAATTTCTTACATCTGTTATGTACGTGTTATTAATTTGATGTGTCGATAATCTTTTCCATTCAGATTTAAACTCTTTTATCCATTCTGGTTTTTCTCTTTCATAATATATTTGGTTTAACATTCATTGTTGATGTAAAACTACTTTTGTTAACAATAGATATACAACAAGAATCCAAAAGCGTCCAAAAAAATTTGGAAATCCTTTATATAACTTTCAAATGTCTCTCTACAAACATTGTGGTCTTAAAAATAGACATTTTTTCTTCACATACAGATCTTGCACATAATGGTCACTATTTATTATTGTACCATTTACTCCATAATAGTTATAAATAGTTCAAAAGAGCAATCAATGAATTTTTTTACAAAATTAATACATTTCATTAATAGCAGCATTGCGAATTTCTACACCTATAAGATATAAACCATTAGATGTTCTTCTAGATAAAATTTATTGGATGGTGTAATTCCATTGAAAGGATAGCGGGAGATAAGGAATTAAATAGAGCTCTGAACGGGTCACGGGTCGGGTCACGGGTCACATCGAAAAAAATTGAAAAAAACAGTTTGTTTAGATATCTTGTTATCTAGTGACCGATAACTGATGTATTATAACTCATTGGATTCTTCTTGATGCGACGAATCGAATGGTAGCTATTTATTTTCAAACGGATTAATATT